CAAAATACTGTGGTTCTTTGTAAGGCAAACCTGCCTAGCGTCCACACAATACTCAAAAACTATTATAGGCTGGTCACCTAGCCGGCATGCCAGACTAACGCAACCCAGAGAGGGTCTTTTATGGCGAGCTCCAGCAAGGAAAGAGATCATAGGGAGGACAGAAAAACTGCTATAAGGACACTAAAAACTGCTTTCAATTCTTTTGGCATCAACACAGCGACTTGGGAAGCTGGTGCACAACGCCGTTCTGGATGGCGTACATTTCTTAGGCATGGTGCATCAGCCTGCTAGGCAGCGGAGGTTGCAACGGCAGAGAAACGGAGGCAGATTAAAAAGAACCATATCCCAAACTTACTGCTGCTTCTACCTGTTGTCCGCACTATTCAAGAATTTTCCAGGCTCATATTGGACTAATCAGCCACCTTCGTACTCATAATCATTGATCAGTTCTATTTTAAATGAAGTGTTCATCATCACTCGTTGTGGACGAACAACACACGTATACCTAACGAATCTTCCCATAATTAATAAAGGGAGAATGTTAAACCGCCCCATTTCCTAATGTTTTTCGGCATATTTTACATTGATAGGGTTGTATACAAGAATGTATATTTTAACTAATACAAAAAGACATAAACACAAAAGCAGTTAGATAAAAGAAATCAAAATTTTAACTCTTTTTACATTGTTAAGAAGTCGGGAGCCTACAAGGATGGTATTTAGAAGGGAGGAAAGAGGAGGGGGAGGGGTTATTGTATGGGATGAGATTTCTTTTTCAATTAAATGTAAGGAATCTGAAATTCCAGTACTTTGTCTCTTCTTTTTTTTTTCTATCTCTTTCCGCTACTTGGACCTGATTGAGGCGCATCAGGATTGACTTTTACAAAAAAATCTGCCCACAGAACTTCGGTACTGTCTTCTCATCTGAGTGTTTGCTAAATGAAACATTGTCTGGTCATTTCAGACAACGCTGGTAAGGCTTGTTTGGGATAGTTGGGTTGACATCTATCAGTGGCTTTGTCTCTAGAGAGGTAAACGAGGATAGCGCGCTGTAACATAGCTAATTTAGATTCATACAAGTCGTATTGCAAACAAATGTATACCACGCAGGTTTTTTGCGTCTAAATAGGATTTATACTACGTGGAAAGAATACCAGAGCGAAAGTATATCGAGTACCGCTGTAATTTGTCATCTATCGGTGCAAAACTATTTTAACAACAGAAACGACATTTTAGTAATAGCGAAAAAAAATATCTGAGGCCAAATTCCAGCCAACTGAGAAGTTAAGAAAACACGAATGGCCAGGATAGGATAGGCAACGAGAAAAACCTGGTAAAGCCTCACTTAAAATGTAATTGTTTATCCTGATGACAGCCCTCTGCTTCCCTCTTTTTTTTTTAATGTGTGTGCGCGCGCGTGTGTAAAAAAAAAAGGGGGGGGGGAGACCCATACACGCCCCCTCCCCAACTTGAAAAAATGTGAATAAAATGTGCTACAAATGGCTGCTGCAAGCTTCACATTAATTCAATATATGCCAGTTAAACTGTTTGTGGAAATGAATATTGCATCTTTTGAAAGTCGACGAAGCATATGACTAAATCAAGATTCTGTGAAACAGGAATTCATGAAAACAAAACAGTACATTTGGGTTTCTCCCGGAGCAGTGAATACGTCTTGGAAATGTCACCATTACATATCTATAATTCATATCTTAACTGCATGTAACCACACAGAATCGGCAACTTTAGCGTAACTTGTCTGTAAGTAAAGGTGCCTTTATACGGCAATCTGGCATATGCTGAGTGCTAAAATTATATTTTTTATAGACAAATATGTCCTTGATGTGTGATGTGGTCAGCGTCACACGGGTCGCCTTTATTTCCTAGGACCTTACCTGTCTTAGACGATTGTCTCTGTCTGTCTGTCATTCTATCTACCCTTCCCCACCACCCTTTTTGTTTTACACACAGATACGCGAGCACATATAAATTTATGACTGTGTATTATAAAAGAGAGTTTTCAACCCCGGTATCTACAAACAGCCTGCAGGATGCAGACCCCATGACCTACCCAGTGTCGATTGGTCCATAAAATATAGGTCTAGCCATATACGCTCAATACGCATAAAGATGTGGAAAAGGGTCCTTTACTTTTTACTACAAACAGACATTGGACAGAGTTTATCTGTATAATTAAAACTATAACTAAATACTATAACTAAAAAGGAGAAATGAGAAGGGAGAATTCTAGTTAACACATACTCAGAACGACAGTCATTACGTCGAGTCAAAAGTCTTTAATCCTCTTGATAGTTGTTACACATGTATAAACGAAACTTGATGGAATTATTAAAAGGAATGACCTAGTAAACTTTTTTTTTCTTTTTTTCTTCTGTGTTCGCCATTAAAGGGGCTGTTGGCACTTTTTGTTGTGGTTTCCAGCTTTACTGCGATATCTGCCCTTTTCAGCTGATCGCATCCAATTTCAGTAAACTCCTACTTGGTCGCACTGTACGACATGTTTATTAAAGACGCTACTGGTGTATACCACCCACCCTCCAACCCTCTCCTTTTTCCCAAATGGGACTTTAGAACCCAGACCGGGAACCAGGGTGGTAACCAGACTGACCTGGTTTTATCAGGACAATCCCGGTTTAAGGTGCTTGTTCCTGGTGTCTATGAAAATTTTCAGGATGCAAAAATTTTCCTGGTTGTTAGGAATGAATATTGCTCATAGTAAGAGTAATTTGTTTAGCTCATGAGAGCAACACACACATACACACCTGATTTTAATAATAGAAGTCTTATTATCTAAAACAAAAACAATCACATTCAGAAGTTCTAGAGAGACTGCAAATTAAAAACAAGGTTGCTAAAGTAAATAATAAGAATGAGGTAATTGAAATATTTCGTCCACGTTAAAAGACGTACCACTCATTAAAAAACATACCTTGAGGGGGGGGGGGGTGTCGAAGACATCGATTAAAGGGGTGGGGGGGGGGGGACATCAAAAGATTGGCGAACAGCAGCCGGAAAGTGTACTACCGAGACCAGAGACAGAGTGTGTTTGACACTCTTGCTTACTTTTTTACTTAGTCGCTCCTATTCTACCTTGGGATGTAGAGGTTTGCCGGAGACATCGCCAGACTTCTCTATCAGCAGTTTTTTTTTTTTTTTTTTCTGGCTTTGTTCCATTTCAGTCCTCTGTCAGTCAGGGACTGTAAGGTATTGTCTTCCCAGCGAACCATGGGTCACCCTTGGGGTCTGGTTCCCTGGCTCTTTTTATTGATCCATTATGAGGAAAAAAGAAACTTGTGATATCATGTCAATTAATAAAGATTTTTTGTTTTGTTTACATTTTTCATAAAATCATGTCATAAAAAGAAGAAACATCGGACGTTCGCGACAGGATATTCTGTTCCTTGTGTCAGTGTAAATTATATGTTATAAATTATACGATGCATGGATGGAAAAACACTTCATGCGCAAATACATATCTATGCAGTGTATACACATGTATAATATCAACACACATACGTAAACGATAATGGTCTTGAAGTAAACAAAAGGACCCCTTTGGCGCTACTGATCCTTTTGTTAGCTACATCTGGTACATGTCGCTTTTTCCATTATTAGGGAATTTTATGCTAACTTATTTTACGCTCAGTTGACCGGGCAGTCTGGGTCAATAATGCCCTCCAGGGTGATGAAATCCAGGGACAGCAAACGGAAGTTTACGGAAGTCGTAGCTCCCTCACATGTATCTATCTGGGACAATGCGTCTTGTCAATCATTATGATCGCCGGAGAGTGTAATTTGTCATTCTTAAATCTAGTGCAGTTTTAAAAGTTTAGTTTGCCCATCTATCATCCTTTCTGCACATCTAATAATCCAGTGAATAAATTATCGGATTCATATACCCCACCATTTCAATATAGGCCTCAGCATGTAGCGACTGATGAATTATTCTCTCACAATTATCTTTATACTTTCGCAAGTTGTACTGGTCTTTAGTTTAGGCGTTGCGAACGCGCTTCGTAATGCTGCTGTGGAGTTAAGTGAACGTGAACTGAAATTGTCCTTGTTTCAGAGCTGTCTTTAACTGGTCTTTCATAAGCTTACTCTTTCCTTACCATCCTTAATATTGTGTGTAGTCCCTATCTTCTATAAACATGGGGGAGGGGCGGATACACTGCCCCTAACAAACGTGTCGTAAAAGGCGCTTAATTAAGAGTGAACTAAAATCGGATGTGTTGGACCGAAAGGCGCAGATATCACGGAAAAGTTGTAAACCAGGACATAAATGTGATAACCACCTTTTCAGGTGCGAACACAGAAGTACAGAGTTTAGCACAGAGATATGCTGTAACGGTAAAACATGATCACATGACCGTAAGAAAAATCCCTGGGGAACGTTGGGGGAGGGGTGGAATTGGGGCTGGTGATTTTATAAATATTATTTATGATGTACATTGTAACACATGTTTAAGCCAGCCACTCTTCCAAGTATTGATTTACTCTGCCTGTTTCACATTACAAATGTGTCAGTTTTAATTGTATGGTTGAACAACTTGCATTAGTCCTGGGAGTCTACCAATGTTCTATGATACGAAATCAAAATTACACTATTTGCTTAAGACGCTATTTAGCTGAAAATATGAAAGATAAAATATAAACATATGTTTAAAAATATTTAAAAACTGCTTTCTGTACTAATATAATGTTTTGTTTCACATTTATTAGGTGAAGTCACTTTAAAATTTCGCCTAATGTAAAAGACACACACGTTTGGCTTTTCATGTGCCTCCTGGCGAGCAGACGTGTCCTGGCCACTAGAGCATAAAAAAATGAGGGAAGGGAGGAAATCTTTGGCGCCAACTATGAAGCTTTAGTGTTCTTGTTCGTTCAAGGCTGGACCTCCGCTTGTCTTCGGGCTTTTAAACAACATTCATCGTAAATTATACTGATAGTTCTGCAGGAGTTATTACAATCCTGCTAACATGGAGGAGAATAAGCCTCCTACCGCGGCTGCCACAACCAAGCTCAAGCAGGGTAAAGATGAAAATGTCTCGTCCTTCCCCCTTTCATGTCTCTACTGGTTCACAGGTCTTTTGTAGAACAAAGAGTGTCATTTTTTTTTATATCAGCGTTATAAATAAGTGAAAGTTTTATGAAGCTGATTTGATAAACCTACATTTGTATTTATTAAACACACAAGTCTGCTTGCTTAACATTTGACATTGTGCCTGCGTACTTTACTACTAATACTAGATGTTACAAAATTATTACAGAAATAATAATTATTTAAATTATGACCAAACTCTGTAACTGGCCAACATTTTTGTACTTTCTCATATGAGGTGATACGATAAGTTTTTCAGGCTCTCACCTGCAAAGGAATCAGCCTGCATCTAATTATAAACTAAAAAATAATTACGCTACCTTTGTAAAGGATTTTTTGAAACCTTTAATTTACTTTCATAATACAATTTAGTTTTCATTTTCCTTTGTTGTTTCTTGTCTATTTTACTTTGACTTAGATAATTTCTAAAGGATGCAATACATTTTAATGACTGACATAGCTCATACCATAGCTAGATAAGTTTTGTTACATTTTAATTTTAGTCTTCTAAAGTTTTATTTAAAAAAAAAAACAATCATGTATAGTATGGTAATCAGTGAACTGCACAAAACTACATCATTTGATGGTACTGTTCATCATCATCATTCAGCCGGTCCTTTAGAACATTGCTCTCATCACAGTCTAGCTAAAGGAAACTTGGTCTTTTCCCAGATCACCCGCCTCATGCACTTTCCTATCCAAGTTGTCACTTATACTTATATCCCATGCTCATCTTTATGGTAGTCAGCCCCTGTCCCTCTTTTATTGTTATAAATATACAAACTGAAGGATACGCCTAGGTCATCATTCCATCTTATCCTTAGGCCTTATTTATTTGCTACTGTCCTCTTACTCTCACTCTCACATCATATTTTGTTATGTGTAGTGCTGGTCTTGACAGCTGTTGTGGTTGCATTCCAATGAGATGACCAAACAATTTAATCTTCTGCTTCTCAGTGAATTCAGAGCAAGAAGTACCTAAAAGTTTCTGATAGTATTAGTATGCCACTTTAACTCTTTGAGTCCCAGGGGGTTTAGCATCACAGGCCCAGGTAGTAAAAAAAGTAATACAATTGGCGCATCATGCGTTCATTGGGCTTCTAGGTAGGATCCTATGAACGTATGATGCGTTCCTTAGGACTCAGAGTTAAGCACCAAGAGGTACAGTGGTCAAATGTTTTGAATTATTTTTAAATAATGTAGCTGTCATAGTTTTTTGTTGTTGATTTATAGCAACCTTAGTCAAATTTTCAAAATCGTTTTATCCATATAAAACAAGTACAGCTGCATTCGTATTGAAAAACCCTTTCCAACGGTGCCTCTTTCATGCCTCTTTGTCAAGTCTAAGCAGAGTTATTACAGCTTTGTTCAAGAAGTCCCCCAGGCAGTGGCTGAACTAACGGTTTATTCCATTACACACCAAACATTTATGCGCACCCCCACCCCCTATGCTATTCTGTCTGTTGCATTTTTACCTACCTGCTATTCATTTGGAAAACTTTCTCTGTGTCCTGTTGAGAATGTGCAGTGGAACTTCACTTTCTAAATCTGTCTGGTTGGGGAGTTGGATATTCTTCATCCTGTATATTATAGTTATCTAAATGGTTTTTTTTTGTTTTTGCTATATTTAAAAAAAAACCAAGTTCCTTCTATGGAAAAAAAAATAATTCGGAAACCATCATATCATTTCCTCTAATTACAGCCTTAGAAAAAAAACTTGAATGTTTCAAGATAAGTGGAAACAAATTTGTGCCAAGTAGACATTTTCAGGCACTCTCTGTGTCAGAGCTGTTTAACTGGCAGGCCAAATGTGGCCTGGGAATTGGCCTGCGAATCATTGTCAGTTGTATTGTATTAGTGATTTTTTCTACGCTGGGGTTCGAGCCTCTGGCCCGTGACAATCCACATTTTCAAAATGCTGGGCCCTGAGTAAATTTGGTCGAATAGCCCTTCTGTATGTCAACCTCTGTTGTAAGATATGCATACAATAATTTTCTGCACTGCTTTACATTTAATATATTGAATACACAAAAATGTCTCTTTTATGATATTTTCTTTTTAATATTCCCAGCAAAATTGTCATTTTTCAAGAGTACACCAGTTTCTGTAAAAACCAACACACCTGTGCAAGGAAAGAAGAGAAGGAACTCTGGTTCAAGTTGTCTGGATTCGCCAACCAAATTATCGAAATCTGGCAAACCATTAAACCCCATCGCTACAGATAATACTGAGTGCCAGAACGCTAAGGCTCACAAAATTCGCAAAATATGCAATACTAAGAAAATTGATGCTAATGACCACGAAGTCAGCTCAAGTTCTGAAGCCGAAGCAGGCATTACAAAAAGTGGCAGCGGAAAACTGGATAGATTTGTCTGCAAGTGGTCTCAAGATCCCCACCATGAAATCTCATCTACGAATGAAATGTTTGAAATATGTCAGCAGAATGAGGTTCCCAGTGAGGATATAAAATCGGCTGTTGATGACAACAATCTAGGTCACTTGCAGCCAGCAGTTACGGATGTAGCTATAGAGCCTGACTGCATTGTAATTGAGGATTCTATGGATGGCAAGTTAGAGAAATGTGATGCCTGTCCTAGCTCATTAGACAGCCTCGAACCAGTTACATCTGAACCCACAGCTCCAGTTACAATTGAGCCAGTTAAATCTGAACCCACGGCTCCAAATGCACTCGAACCAGTTACATCTGAACCCACAGCTCCAGTTACAATTGAGCCAGTTAAATCTAAACTAGCTGCTCCAAGTACACTTGAACCAGTTACATCTGAACCCACAGCTCCAAAAACACTCAAGCCAGTTAAATCTGAACCCACAACTCCAAAAACTCTCGAACCAGTTACTTCTGAATCCTTGGCTGTAAAAACACTTGAGCCAGTCCCATCTGAACCCAAGGTGCTAAATACACTTGGGCCAGTCACTTCTGAACCCAGGGTGCTAAATACACTTGAACCAGTCACATCTGAAGCTAAGTCTGCAAATATAATTGAGATAGTCACATCTGAACCCAAGGTGCTAAATACACTTGAGCCAGTCACATCTGAACTCTTGGCTCTAAAAACACTTGAGCCAGTCACATCTGAAGCCAAGTCTGCAAATATGCTTGAGCCAGTTATTCCTGAACCAATGGCTCTAAATAATAGTGAAATTGGCAGTGAAGATGTAACTAACCTTGTAAGTAAAGACATGAAGCTGGAAGTCACAGAGGTTGGGGAAGGTAACACCTGTGAGGAAAACAATATTGAGTCTGATGTTAACAGCAGTGTAAATGATAATGACACCAGCCTTACACTTGGGGAGAACTTGGACGATTCTGTGAAGGATATTTCAGCCCTGTCAGTAGCATGTTCGACTCCGATTAAGAGCAAGGATTCTGACCTGTCTGATCCAGATCAAACAGCAGATTTATCTGTGATCACTCCTGTTACTCCAGCAATGGGAAGTGGAAAGCGAAGAAGGAAGGTAAGCTGTCCTTTCTCAGGAATTCAGTAATCTTGTCATATCATTATCATCAGTTCTCGCTGTGCCTAGTGGCACATAAGGCTTCAGAGAGGTGTCCATGTCAAAGATGCCATACTCAGGTCACTTTCCATCGTTCGTCTCCATGTTTTTGGGCGCCCCTTTTTTCTCTTTCCCTCTGGTATCCATGTGAGAGCTGTTTTGTATCTTGTGATAGAAAGCCATTAACTTCCCTTTTTTTGTTGTTGTTGTTGTTGCTTGTTAAATGTACAATAATTATTATATTTGTAACTTTAAAAAAAATTATCTGAAGTGTTTTTACTTCAGCATGTATACATTTATGTCATGCTTCAGTCACCACATAATTTCTCAAGTTATAGCATACATTTTTCTTCACATTCACTGGCTATAAACTCTGGTAGAAAGTTCTGGTTGTTCATCCGCTTCTGGACTTTAGTCATGATCCAGAACATGAGTTTTGCGTGCACATCCGTTTTGCAGATCTGGCTTATCTGTGTGCAGACTGTTCCTTGCTACACAGGCAGATGCATAGTGACTTGGAAAGAAAAAACCCCACTCCTAAGTCGTATTTTACGCAGAATGGGTCCTGGAACCCAAGCGAGGGCAGTCGAGCAGATATAAAGTAATAACACAAATGGTGACTACAAAAACCAGAAATATTGTATTTATGCACATCTTTTCCTGACCTTCTGTTGAGCGTCCATTCACATTTGAAAGTGTGTGTGTGGGGGGGTAGTTTCTGCATGATTTTTCAGACAGATTTTATCATCATTGTGTGCTTTGCCAGGCCAGAGAACATAAACATTCATGACTTTCCATATACTTCAACAAGTGGTGTTCTAGATCATTTCTGTTGATGATATTCAAAAATTGTACTATCTTAGACCAAACTGTCTCAGTCCACACCTATTGGAGTACATGTCGTGACACTGAGCGTGCCATTGGCTTTGTTCAAACTGCATCTGTGTCAGTTTTGTGTGTGTGTGTGCTAGGGGCAATGATGGACATTCTGTGTGGTTTACATTGACACAGGAATGGAACATTTATGTTGGGACTCATTTGCTTTATAGCTGGAACTGTAATTGCCTGAATGCCTTGTCTTACCTTAAATCATCCAGCATTATTTCTTGGTCTGTCTCTGTCTGCGCTGTCACTGATCTACCTAATTATTACAGTGTTCTCCAGTTCTTCTCTTTTTAACCTGGCCTCTCCAAAAAATGACTTCTCTCTTGCAGTTGATGATGTTCTACTTTTAATAGTCTTTTCCCCCCTGAGGTAGACCCACTACCCCCTAACAAGCGTGTCATAAAAGATGTCTAACTAATGTTTTGCTTCCATATTTCTTGGACTAAACGGCAAAGATGTCGCACAGCCTAGCTGTAACCATCAACACAACATGTCAACCACCCTTGTAAGGGCAAAATCTGAAGTAGATGTTAAATATTTGCTGTCCCAGGTAGATGCTACAACACCGGCTCTGTCTTAGTGTTGACTTTTTTGGTGGCTGAGGTTGTATTTTCTCTCTGCATCAACATGGCTCATTGTTAAAAAGTGTGGGGGTGGGATGTTAATGGTATATCACCAGATTTTAAGACTTCTGGCTTGATCTGTCTGCACAACTGGCTACCTTCTAAGGGCAGCACACAGCACAGACTGTAACATCATTTTCACACAAATTGGTTTCTGCAACAATTTTGCCCATGCTCCAAATGGCACAACAGAGACTGCTCAGTCACCGTAACAACCTTCTGGAAAACTTCTCAATGACAAGCAAAATATCCCGCATCCGATACACCCATCTGGAGATCATCCGCCACATCCTGCACCTATCTTCTCTTTGGCCTTCCTCTTCCTCTCAACTTTCGCGACATTTCAAAAATGATTAATGTATTTCCTTTTTTTTTTTTTGTCTTTAATAGCCAGCCTTCTTCAGTATTCAGTTCTTGAAGTATAGATGTATTTGTTCTTTTCTTTACCTATGATATTCTTAGAACCCATCTATAACATTTGTATTCAAAGGCATTTATGCGCTATTCAGCTTTGTTTAGTAATTGTCTAGGTCTCAGGTTATGTTGCAATGGGAAAGATGCATGCTGTTTGAAATCTAATTTTTATAGCTCTGTCTCCATAATTTATTTAGTTGTTTTAGTCTTTGAAGAGCAATTGATAGTTATTAATATCTTTCATCGTGTCACCATTGTTGGTAATCAGTGACTCAGGATATTCAAAATTGTCCACAAACTCAAATCTTTCCTCATTAACATATTTTTTTCTCTATAGTAGTTTATCTGAGATTACTACCCTCTTCATTTAAATGATTTGCCAGTTTCACCTAATATTGTAATGAAGCCAACTGTGATTTTTTTGCGGACAGTTTTACAGTGAGCAGGATGTTTATATGATAACTTGTTCCAAAAAGCATGTTATATATTATCAGTGATTAAACTTGTGTTTTTCACTGCTCTTTTTGCTTATTTTGATAGATCTTTTATGATACAGGGGCCCTTAGTGGAATAAAGTATAGTAAACACATGTGTTTATCGAGGTTTCATTTGCAGTGTCACCACTTAACATGCTCTGAAAATCACATAAAATGTCCTTTACTGTCCCATTTGAAAACTAAGGACAAAAATGGCAGACCCAGCAAGCTCTTGAAGTTCACATATGCAAAATAAATGCATAAGGCTTTTGTCAGATTTGCTAACACTAACAGTCTGACACCAGAATTGCAGCTCACTGTTAATGCAAGAAATCAGTTATGAAAGCCTTCATTGTACGCACAGTAGTAATGCAGCAATATACTAAGCTTGTAAGGGGAGCTGAAGGGTATGGTTGGTCGTGAAGTTTGCCTAACAAATTGATCGATGGGTTTATCTTCTCTAGACTGTTACCTAAAGGTTTACTAAAAAAGCTGAATTAGAATCTACAAAACTGAAGAGAGAAGCTGAAAGATTGGAAAGGAAGAGAAAGCTAGAAGAAGAGAAGGCTGAAAAAGAAAGAGTAAAGAAAGAGAAAAAGGTATATTTTTTCTAATTTTAGGATCTTGTTAACAGCTGAATTTACTGGTAGACAAATCTCTAATTTGTGCCAGATTCAGGTGGTTTGGTAGCAGACTTTTTTATGTAGATTTTGACAACTGTATAACGTCGTCATCATCAAGTGCCTTGCCAGCTGGCATAGGCGTCCATGCAGCTCCACATAACTTGGTCTTTGGTGTTCTGGATCAATTCCACTGATGATATTCCCCCATGCCACTGTCTTAAGCCACCCACCATCATTTCTCTGGGTCTGTCTCTGCATCTTCTACCAGTGATCCTTCTAGTTGTCACAATATGTTTCAGTGTTCCTCTTCTCATCACATGACCAAAGAACTTTGTCTCCTTCTCATTGTTGTATATAATGTTCTACTTTCATTAGCCATTTCCAGGCAATCAATGTTGGTTACCCTGGCAATCAAAGGTAATAAGAACCACATCTCAGTTGCCTCCAAACTCTTTTTAATTTGTTTGCTCACATTCCAAGATTCAATGCCATACAACAGAACTGGCTTGATATAACATTTCAGTACTGGTTTTCTAATTTTCTGAACGTTCTACAATTCAGAAAGCAATGACAGACTGCTGAACATGAAATTGCCTAGTTAACCATACAACAGCCAGTAAATACTGCGCTTGGTCTGTAACATTCTGAAATGGATGTGAGATTTTATTTTAGCTCTCTGATTACATATTTAAAAAATCAACAGAGCACATCGGGAATGCCCATAGATGCTCCGTCTCCAACAGCAAATGATTTTAAGGTGTAGATGCTAACTGTTGCTAGCTGTTTGTGAATCACTTTTCTTTTTGATGTTTATATCTTGTAAAATAGTGTTTTCTTATTCTTGATTCATATACATATATTCTAAGGAGTTTTCTGTTAGAGTTTTTAAAAAAACCTGTTTTTTCCTTTATGGATTGTTCCCTTGATAGATTGTAATTATGATTACTGGTTCTATATAGAAGTCAAGTTCAACAGAGATTCTACCAGTTCTTGGATGAAAGGTCAGATAGTTGCCCCTGCACCTAACGTTTTTGTCTTACCTTGTGAATTATGAAGCATTATCTTAGTTTGTTTTCTTAGCTAATAAGTAAAGTAAAGGTCCCCTTTTTAACGCCTGAAGGCGTAATAAAGGACTAGACCTATATTTTTATAGACCAATCGGTACAAGATGGGTGATGTGGTCAGCGCCACTCCGGCTGCCTTTATTTCCCAGGACTGCACCTTGTACCCACTTAAGGCTGGGTCAGCCTGGGAGTCAAGTTCATCGGGCTCCATCAGGGTGCGAACCCACTACCTTCCAATTGGCAGGCAGGCGTCTAGCCATCAACGCCATGGCAACTCCCTTTCTTAGCTCTCATATAAACTAATATGTGAAGAAAATACTGGTCTGTAGTGAATTTTTCTTGAGTTTGATTGTTTTCTTACCTTATATGTGAACTAAAATACTGGCTTTTATGTTTATTTTGCCTAACTTTTCTTGCATGTACAGTTTGTTACATGAAGTTTTATTTTTATCTATCAAGGATGCAATGGACAAACTGAAACAAGAGCAAAAGGAAAAGCTGGAAAAGGAAAGGCTAGAAAAAGAGAGAGCTAAAGAGGAGGAGCGGAAAAAGAAGGAAGAGGAGAAGGCAAAAAGAGAGGAAGAAAAGAAGAAAAAGCAAGAGGCACTAGAGTGAGTACATTGTTTTAACTTTCATATTATGCCTTTGGCGATAATAAATTGCCTTGCCCAGGGTCATACTTAGCTCTTATCAGTGGCTTCTTGTCTCGTTGCTCTGTCATGCAACATAACTTTCCTCCTTCTGAAGCTATAACTCTTTACTTGTTGAATGTTTTTGATTTGTCTGTAAACTGTAGTCTTCTTCTTCTTCTATCTTCACCGTTAAAATCGCTGTTGGCACATCATGTTTTGGTTTACAGAAAATCTGCTACGTCTCCACCTTTCAGCCCAGCACATCCAATTTCAGGAAACTGCTAATTAGTTGCCTTTTATGACATGCATTCTAGGGGCCAGTGAATCTGCTCTTTTTCCTTCCCCCTTTGATAGGGGATCCAGATCCTGTGACATGACTTGAAAGGGCAGAATGTTAGATCTTTGTTAATGTTCTACTCTTATATAAACTCAGATAATTGCATAGTTGAGTGCACATCTTCACGGGACGTTGCAGAGCCAACTCCAGCATTTTTTTTTAATGCTGCATTTAGAGAAAGAAAGAAAGAAGAAAAGAGTTTAAAAAAAGGAGGGGGTGGGGATATACTCAATTTTTAAAAATATGGCAGTTGGTAGTTATCAGGTAAAGGCTGTATTCTTAAAATATAGAAATTTCAAGAAAGGAATTGCTTAAAGATCATAAGAAATATGTATATGCTTTCACAGGGCTAAGCAGGAGGAGAAAAGAAAGAAAGAAGAGGAGCGAAGAAAGAAAGAAGAGGAGAGAAAACAGAAGGAAGAAGAAAAGTTACGGGAGGAAGAAGATAAGGTATTTTGTGTTGCACATAATTAGTTTGTGAAGTAAATAATGCATGCAACAAACAACAAATTAGATTGTGCTTGTACACCAGTTATCTGATTTTTGGCCATGATTGCTTGTTAATCTGTCATTCTATATCTTCATGAACCTACAGTCCATCGTAATGAATTTGACTAATTTAGCAACAGCATATAATAATTTTGACTGACCTCCATTAATGACTGTTTACTGGACAGTGACAGATCATTTCTTAGACAGCATTAAAAGTCTGTGGTTAAACACCAGCAAGGAAATTAAAATTTTGAGAGCATGCATCTTCCCTGTATGGATGTGTCTTTGACTATCTCCCAGTCCTTAAGGAAGAAGATAAGGGCTTTTTAGCTGAATTGCTATAGAAAGATTCTCAGAATACAGTGGACAAAGACTAAAAGAAATCTAAAAAAAATCTGAACAGTGGAAGATTAGCTAATAAACATCTTGTCTCGGAAGCTAAAATATTTTGGCCATATCAAGTGCCATGGTTGATTGAGAAAAAAATGATAGCAGAAGACATAGTACTAAGAAGAAGAAGAAGAAAGGGCAGTCCAACATTAAGAAGGGCACAGGATATAACTCCTTGGATATGAAAGTGTACGAGGTGGGAGAGCAGCGAGAGACCGTGTTCTGCAAGAGACCTGCTGCGAATGACATAATTACGGGGCTTATTAGTGATACTTGACCCACCCCGAGAGATGGACCAAATTGTCCTTGTGCCTGCCAGGGGTGAAAGGGCGGAGAGGACAAGGCGCAGCAAAATCAGGACAAGAAGTTGAAGCGGGGTTTTGGTGTATAGCTTATTGTTTGATAGCGTGTTTCAAAGTGAGCATTATATCTGCTAGCAAGTTTTTAGTATTATGAAGTTCCATCTACACTGGGATAGTTTTCTGTGGTTTCTGACCTCCAAGCAGGTATGTCACATTCCTAGACTAAAATGAGCCATATAAGCGGACAGAATGGCACTTGTCATTCCTGCAGATATCCTCATGACTTTCTTGATCATAGACATCCCTGGTTAACTGTTAAAGGTCCCCCTGTGTGTTTCAGGGCCTCATTTGGGGTGGGGGGGGGGGGGGGGTTAAGAATCTACCCACTGACTTCCAGTAGGTGACTGATTAGGGGATTTTCATTAAAGTTAGTGTACATTTCTGGCTTAGAGACAAGCAACCAAATCTGTATACAGATAAGTTAAATCTGTAATAGGGATGTACAAGCAAAACTCAGGTTTTTCTGGAATAAGACCAAAGTCCAGAAATGGATACACAAGCAGAACTTTTCCTGTGAACGCTAAGAAGAAAGAACTGTTAAAGGCTGGGATACAGGTAAACATATTGGATGCCATTGGTGCACTGGGCATGTGATGTGTGGTTGATATATTTATATACCTAATGACACTTGATGGAAAATGTCAACATCACCCGAGCCACCGAAGATCTATCAGAAAGGATCAGATCACTTATACAGTAAAACCACATTAACACGGATTCCTTCCTCACTAAGTTGGTCCTCTTCTACCCTGGGGTGTAGAGGTTTGTCAGAAAGGTCACCAGATTTCTCTGTCAGCAGTTTTTAACATCAATTCCAAAGGAATGAAAATGAAGTTTGTTTTAACAAATTTATGCTGACCGGAAAATAATAACAATAAATAGTATATCCCTGCCACAATTAAACTTTTGTTCATATTAGCAAAGTGTTCTTCTTAAGCGAGTTTGTGTTAAGGTTTTACTGTATGAGTGTTCATATGTAGTGAAAGAGATTTCCTGTTTACCAGATCAAATTGCATCAGATTTGCATGAATGTCTGCTTAGTTTCAGGTTGGGTTTACAAAATAAAGATATTTCAAGTGAACAGGTTATTGTTACTCAGACCAAATTTGGATTTCTGGATAGTATATATTTTGATTTACTATTATTGTTTTAGAAAAAGAAAGATGAGAAGACCAAACAAGCTTTCCAGAGCTTTTTCATCAAACCTAAGGATAATAACGTGAAACCAGCAGTGAGTATACATTTGTTACTGTTGTTAACACTGACTTTAATTAAGTTCTTTGTGTTCTTCTTCTTTGCGCTCACTGGCTTTAAACGCCAGCGGAAACTTCTTGTTCTTCCATTTCCGGACTTTATTCTTGAGTTTTGTATGCACAGCCATTTTTACCGATATGGCCTATTTGTATGCAGACTACTGGTTCCTGGCTTCCCACAAGCAGATGCACTTGGACTTCAAAGCAAAGCCCTAATTAGTCGACTGTTACAGCATGCTTGTTAGGGAGACACTTGGTCTGTTCCTTTTTCTCTCTCTCTCGGCACAAGACCCGGAACCCACAGGGGAAGTTCTTTGTATTGCTCCATCATGAACCTGTTTGATTATTATCCATGAGGTGTTCATTCTACAGACCTGCACTGGGGGGGGGGGGGGGTGGATTAAATTTTTTAAAAAGGACTAGATATAAAGACTAAAAAGGAAGTAGATGGACATGGCAGTCACATACTGGGTTCAGGGGTCTCGTCAAGGTGGGGACTGGAGAATAGGTTTAACAACACACACACACACACACACACACACACCCCCCAACATGCATGTCAAAATAATATAGTAATTAGGATGTTTCTTTCGAAGTCAAAATGCATCTGTAAAAGGCGAGGAACCAAAAGTCAGCATACATAAAAGCCAGAATTTTAAAAGAAGAAATAAAATTATTGTGAAAACTTGTCTCGTGGTATACTAGCAAAGTGTGATTGCAAGAAGAGGGAAATTACTTCATTCATAGCAGAGCATACAAACACAGTTGTATGTAGTTTTGGATATGTGAGTCAGCTACATTTACTTGTTTCATTGTGAATATATAGACTAGCATCATTCTTTTGTTTGTTTTGCAATCCTTGAGCTTTCATAAACAACAGACCAGATAGTACCAGTTATATGGGTAACCAAACTATAGATTTAAGCATTAAGCCTGTTAATCACTTTGTTTAATGCAAATGACAAATAATATAGCTAAAATCTAGACCCATATGCTCCTAAAACAATCCGGTTTCTATAGTCATCTTTTTACTGTACATTAAAATGTTTTACATTCTCTGGGGGGGTTGGTAAATCTGCTGTCTGCCTATTAAAAACATGGTGTAAAAGGCAGTTAGTTAATTAGGTGTTTTCAGAAATCAGATACTTGGCACTGGAAGGTGCTGATGTCACAATGCAGAAATCAGGTACTTGGCACTGGAAGATGCCGATGTCACAATGCAGAAATCAGGTACTTGGCACTGGAAGATACTGATGTCACAATGCAGAAATCAGGTACTTGGCACTGGAAGATACCGATGTCACAATGCACAAATCAGGTACTTTGCACTGGAAGGTGCCGATGTTGCAACCTTGCTGATAATCACAACACAGCATGCCAACTGCCTTTTAGAGAGGACAACAAAAAATGTGTTACAAATAAATCTATACCAAGTTTTCTGCTTCTTTCTGCAGACTCCAAAATCCACCACTGGAATGTTTATTCCATTTGAGCTAAAGAAAGATATGCACCTGGCACCTGCTGTCAGACGAGATGCTCTCACAGAAGACAAGAAGAACAACTTGGATCAGACCCTGGCTAATGCTGAGGTGTGTATTGCTTATAAGTTTATTACCAAATAGAAGACTTTAAAAAAATTAAATTGTGGCGTGAAACACAGATTTCATAACCCTATTTTAACATGTGACTACAGACTTAATCTATAAAAAAAAATATATGCCTTGCTAGATAGTAAAGGCATTGGCGTCTCTCAGCCCTAGATTCTAAAAGAAATGATATTGCCTGTATGACAGAGTAGAGTTACTCTGCTTTGTAAAGAGTTAATAAGGCATAATTTTAAACTAGTAACAAATAAATGAAATATTCCTTTCACAGAATTATGTAAACACATACTTGGCGCAGCTGAAAAATGGGGATGTAAAGCCACACAGGACTGGCAGAGTTTTACGGGTGTAAGTAAATCTGTAGTTTTCATTGTTCTAGTTCTGCATGTTATGTTATTTCCCTAAGTACACTGATTCTTCATTTTTATGTGGCTCCCCATTTGACATATTGGTGATTAATGGGGATTGTCATTATAGCACTACGGAAAGATTCAAAGGTGCTCTCATCTAATAAAAAACTCTACAAGTGTAAAATGACTGATGACGCCTGTTCTGTGTTGATTAATTAGACATCTTGTCCCATTAATGAAATTTTCATTTTCTTGCAGCGCCAGGCCTTATCACATTGAATATTGTACTTGTTTAAACAGTATTATTCCACATTTCCTAATGTTATTTTGTAATGCATGTTCCTGAACCCTATTTTTGGGGGTTGGAGAGGGGGAGGGAAAAAATAAGCACACTGACTACTCCATTAGTGGCGCGGTGATTTCGGTCACAGGCATGAGGGGAAGTTAAGTCTGATGTGATGTGTATAAGGAGATATTCCGTACCCCACTCGGGCGCCAGTCCTTCACTGTTCTGGTTTTACGGAACCTCATGCAAGACTCCTGTTGCATTTCCCCGTCGTGCGCCACGGATAATGTCTCAAATGAGCATTAACAGAGTTGGCAGGGGATCTCGGAGCTGGCGGCCCCTAGAGGTGTAGAGTCCTTTCTGGCTCTCACCAGCCCGCCCCCAAACGCATGGGTGAAAAGTAACAAAACTCAAGGACTGCTTGCTAAATGTACCATCAAATGATAACTCTTGGTTAAAATTCGGGAGCGAATGGAAAACTGTGCTGCTGAGACTCAACCCTGACCGAGAGATTTACCCGCAGCCAAGACGAGTAACATCTCTTGTGGGCGACTTCTCGCAGCAAGATCCCACCTACGTACATCCTCTGTCAATCCTCAGTGTCGTCGTCACTGCGCTGAGGTACACCATGGCAGCAACTATTCATGCTGGCTTGAAAACAATGTCCGACAAAGTTCCGCCCCACGGCACACATGCAAGCTCAAAGTCCGACGATTATAACTCGTACCGATTAGGAAAAATCTGAATGTCCGTATCCACTGGTCCAACTCGCCCGAGTGTTGGGACCAAACAGGTGAAGCCACGCCTGACGCATTTTGCTTCCCCATTCTGTCGTGCTAAGGGCACAGCTAAAACAACGTTAAAGGTGTCTAACGTAAGATGAAAAAGAATGTACCTATTTGTGGCCACAAACGTCCTAGACCTGCGGGCTGATCTCCGGAGAGCGCAGCCTTGTAGCGTGGGAAGCTCAATACACGGTTGTGAGGTTAAGCAGTCATGGGCAGGACGTGACGATTCCTTGGGTGAGCCCAGAACCAGAGCATCATGTGTCGGCTCTGCATTTATGGAAGCCTCCTTGGTTGGCGGGGAATGCCCATGATCTGCCCCTGCCTTCTCTTGAGGGCTGAAAACTCTACATAGAGCTGCCTTAAGGACGACATGCCGGGGGCCACACTTGTTAAAAGTCAAAGAGGACACCACACAAATAAGGCAACATCTCGACCCACACAAAACAATGGCCACAGTCAACCTAGAAATAGGCTTGACGTCTTCCTCCGAAGTCGCAGTACATCTGCCGGAGAGGCGGGGAACGAGTACTGCAAACAAATAAGCCAGTAAAACGGATGTACACGCAAAACTCAGGTCAAGGTAAAAGCCAAAAGTCCATTTTGGACGAACAACCGTGACTTACCGCCGGAATTCACAGCTGGTGAACAAGAAGAAGAAGACGACGACTCCATTACCAAGCAAGGTATAAGAAGCGACTAATTAATGTTTTGCTGAAATCAAATGTGTTGGTCCAAAAGGCACAGATAGTGCAGCCTAACTGAAACTTACAACACAGCTCTCCAACAGCGATCAATATTATTACTAATGTGATTGTTAAAGGCCACTACAAATCTGCCCGTTTTAGTAACAGCAATCCTCCGAAGTCGAAGCGCATCAGCCAGAGAGCTGAGGAACTAACATTTTTTTTTTTACAAGATCTGTAAAACAGATTGACAGGCAAAATTATAAATCTGGGACAAGACTAGAGTCCAGAATTGGATAAACAACTAGAACTTTCTGCTGGTGTCTGCAGGTGGCAAACACTAAGAAGAAGTAACTACTGATAGTATGCAGACATATATTCGCACACTTTTGTTCATCTGGGGCCGTGTTAGCGCAGTCGATAAGAAGCTTGCTTTCAAATCCAGCTGTGACTTGCTGCAGCCCACGGTTGGTGTTCGAAACCAGGTGGCTCGCGGGGTTCATCCAGCATCTAGGAAATGATACTCTGGGGTAAATGGAGGAACGTCGCTGTAGCTACAGAGTTACGTGCGAACGGCGACACAGGCGGACAATTCTTATCAGCTCTCCGTACTGCTGGCAGAGCACTTTTGGTTTATAACCGTGTGCAATGACGCTGGTTCATCTCTCCCGACTTTACCTTAACCTTTTTACTTTTGTTCATCACAGCAGCATACGTATATTTTATTTAATGACAGAGTATTGTTTTTGCCATACTCGTACATGGTACTGTGGTTAAAGAATGTTTTTTTTTTTGGTCCATCAGCTGAATATTTTGTAATCAGTTTAATCATTTATATATTTGAATTCAGAAACCCACAGCCTGAAGAGGATGTTGAAATAGTTCACGACTCGGAGGCCCTAAAGAAAGTCACTTATTGTGTCAAGATTCTACAGTTCCATACCGACTATAGGCCACCTTATTGTGGCACTTGGAGGAAGAAGCCAGCTCTGTCTGCCAGAAATCCATGGAAGAAAGATGAGGTATGGTTAATCTTACTTCTGTAACAAGCTACTTTTATATAGCTAGAGTGGTCAATAGTGATTTCCTTCCGCTTTGATCCCCTGATGGAGTGTATATACCACTCAACATTGACATGCCACACCCTCGTATCTTTGCTAATTTTATAGTTCCTAGTATTTATAACTAATTTTATTTGCTATTTATAACTAATTTTATTTGGGGGGGGGGGGGGGGGTGTTGCTGCTTATTGTGTCTTTTCTGAAGACTTGTTTCATGATTACTTGAAATGTTAATTCTTTCAAGGAGGTTGTAATACATTTCTTTTAGCTCAGAGATCATCATAATCAACAGAAGATTTACATATTGTTGTTCTTGTCACAGCACAGCCTGAAGTCTCTCTTTCTCTTTATGTATTCACATTTGCAAAGGTCTGCCTCTGCTCATAAATCAGTGTGTCTGAATTCAGCAGGCCTTTCTGTAAGATTTAAATTATACAGATTGAAGGTAAAATGCCAGTGAGTAGGTTTTGTATCCACACCAGAAAGCAGCTATGGTCTACTCCTACAGTTGCCAGCTGTAGTTAGGATTTTCGTTGGTAAAAGTTATAAACAGACTGTTTTTGGCCATATATAAGAAGATTAATTATCTAGTCTCATTTTTTAAAAAGAGATAAACGTAGTCATGTGATGTCATTGGAAATTGATTGTTCATACAAAAAGACCCACTATGTCATTTTAAACCCTGATGCTGGAAACATTGTGCCATGTTTCTATTGGTTCGATACTGACTGACTAAACTGCTAATTGTGTGGGGGGTCTTCAAAGCCCCAAATATACAACTCTAAATATAAATATACAGCCTGTGATGAGAGGAAACAATATGTGGATAGAATTTGGCAGCCTTTTTAAAAAAAAAAAAAAAAGCATGCACTTAAGATACAGATATTTCAAGTAGTTAATAATGTACACTGTTTTACATGTTTTTCTGTATTTTGGTATATCTTAAATTTACTTATCCTTAGACGTACTATTATAGCAACTTATCGGAATCCAGATTTTTCAGCTTCGTTATTCCGGTCTGTGTAAAATCCCTGTTGGTTAAACAGGGCACTTAAGTGAAACGAGTAAAACTCAGAGAAACAGAATAGCAAAACTCATCTTCCGTGTGTGTTATAAGAATTGACTCAGAATGGTTGGCTACTATGAGGATATTTATGTGTTTTATTTCAGTAATTAAAATTTTTTCTTTATATCAGTTGAGTATCGCAAAATTCCTTTTTGCAGACTGTGTTTGATTACGACGTCGACAGTGACGAGGAGTGGGAGGAGGAAGAGCCTGGAGAAAGTTTGTCATGTTCAGATGTAAGTGAACTGTGTGTTTCTGATCATTCCTTCTTGTCCTATTTGAATTAAAAGTAGTTATACTTTGTTCTGTTTGGTCACTTTGCATCATTTATATTGTAGTGTGTCCCTGTGTGGGTTCAGGGACCCCATTTTTTGGGGGTGCAATGGGGGATATTTTCACCCAGATTAGGATGGTTGGGGGGAAGGCCCAAAGCTGACCTAAAACACTGAGATAGTCCAGATACTCGGATTAAACGAGAATCTTGAGATAGGTGATGACTGCTAGTTATCACGGGTACCACGGGAATGCCACCCAAGGTCGCCACGTGAAAAGTAAAGGACCAATGCGTGTTATCACGTGAAACTAACCCGTGGCATAAGTCAGACTTGACTCTAGTCAAGTTTAGTTTTGTGTCGACCTGTTGGAGTGAGAATGTCAACGTGAGAGTGCTTGTGGGGAAAGGGGACCCTGCCGACGAAGTGTGAAGCCGAGATCGACCATGCCAGTGTGTGAGATGGCCAGAACCTCAACGTGAATCCATGGGAGCCAACTTTGGTCAGTGAATGCTTGAAGAAGACTGTTCGTTGAAGGCTGCGTGAGTTTGGGTACGAGAGCTGTTTACTAGGACAACGACTGGACCTTTCTTTTGTGTAAGTGTAAATACGTCAATAAACTCATGTCTCGTAAGTTGTGTAACGTGGAGCGTGTGAGAAGATCATCCACCACACACGCATGAACACTACCTAGACAACGAGAAGAAACACACACCACTTATTACAGGGGGAGGGGGGGGGATAGCTCTATTGCCCACACCCTCTTTTACAAGCATGTCATAAAGTGTGACTACCTGGGGTATTTTCTTTGAAGTCAGAGTACATTTGCCTGAGAGCTGAAGTGACTGCACAGAAAGAAGCCAGATCTATATAACAGGTATACATACAAAACTCCAGTTCTGTATCAAAATCAAAGTCCATAAATGGATGGACAGCCAGAACTTTCTGCCGGTAAACGCTAAGAAGGGTTGCAGCATGAGTTGCCTGATACTTATTTATTCTAGGTTAATAACTATTTATGTTGGGCTCCGGGGACTGCATACCATTTACTGCTTCACTCTGTTCTTTTTATTGATTACTTCCTTTCCCTGTGCCCTATTGTTGGAAAAAACAATAACAGACACACACCCCAAGCATGCTCTAGGAGTTGGCTTACTGGGGACTTCTTTCAAAACCGGAATGCATCTGCCCGAGCAGCAAGCCACAACCAGCGTGACACAAATAAGCCAGTAAAACGGATGTACACACAAAAACTCAGACCCTAGCACAAAGTCCAAATGGATGAACAGCCAGAACATTTCGCCGGAGCATTACCGTTAGAGGTTATGGCCCTGCGAGGCGTTACACCAGGGGATCTGGCCGGCGCTCAGCACTCAGGGGAGGGCAAGACTGATATACAGTCAGATAGTCACTGGTGCCATCTGAATTGGAACTCTTTGTTTGCTGCTGAAGATGCAGACAGAACGATTATGGGGGTGTCCTGAGTGCTATTATGTCAATTCTTAATTCAGCATCAAACATTTGTGTACTTCTTTGTATGTTGTGCTTCATTCGATGTTAGCGTAGCTTTGGGTATTCAGCTATGTTTGCTCAGTGGCCAGAATGTTGAAAATGGGGATTGTCATGGGCCAGAGGCCCTAACCATAGAAATATCACCAACACAATACATCTGACTATAAACCACAGGCCATTTGCTAGACTTTTGCAGGCTGTCAGTTGAATAGCCCTGGTGTAGGAAATCATGCTCCTGACAAGATTTTGTGAAATACGCCAGGCATTAAATTGTTCAATGTATTGTTGATGCTGTATGTTTTTTCATACCTAGTTATGTAAAAAAAAAAAAAAGTTTTTAATTTATACACTTTTAAAACTAGTTTTGATTAATTTTGTAAATACAATTTTTAGGGAGAAGAAGAAAAAGGTGAGGATGCTGATGAAGATGACGAAGATGGTGATGGTTGGATGGTGCCTCATGGTTATTTATCAGAGGATGAAGGCTGCAATGAAGATGATGAGGTATAAAATGAATTGTTTTCTGTATATCTTTAAGATAATACTTTAGGCTTTGGTTGTTTCAACATTGTCAACCTCTGAAGCCCTGAACCTAGCTTTTACATTGTTGCCACATTCCTGTGAAGGTCCTGAAACTGACCTGCCTGCAGTGTCCTATTTCTGAAAAAAATTATTGTGATCCCACTATCACCATAAATGATTAAAAGCTAAATGTAGTCGACAGATTGACTTATCTTGGCAGTACCCTATCTCAGAGAGTCAACATGGATGATGTGATCAACTCTAGAATCTCAAAGGCCAGCAGCATTTTCGACAGACTTTATGTCAATATGTTAAGTTATGTTATCACAATTGACGTCACTGCACATTAGGCATTCCCATGTGTGCTCAGTCCTCCGATGCAGCAGCCACTCCAAAGTACTTCTACTAATTGTTCCCATGAGAAGCTGGTTATATTGTCTCATATTTGGGCCTCGAAGACGGCATAGACGTGCTTCACCATGCTTTACTCCCGTGTCACGCAGTCGTGTTAGTGTCGGCGATTCCTCAGTATCCACTAGCCCAGTCCGTACAGCGCTGACGATATCTACTCTGTCCATGCTTTTCCCCCGCAATCATTAGTGCAGTGCTTGCCAGTTGGTCTGCTCACTCATTTCCCTTTACGCCTCCATGACCCGGTGTGTAGATCCAGGTTACGGAGGTTAGGTGTGATTTTCCAACGCTTTCTACCCATTCAGAGGGCATACCGCCTGTTGCTATCTTCTGAAGCATATTCATAGATCGACAGACTTTATACCAGCGTCTGGAATAAAAGTGGTATCAGACTGAAGGTTTACAGAGCTGTAATTCTTCCAGTACTACTCCACATTTTTCGAAACGTGGAATGTGTATCAGCCATATGCTAAAATGTTGAATCAGTTTCATATAAAATCCAATGGCAAGATAGGATACCAAATACTGTGGTTCTTGATAGGGCAAACCTGCCTAGCATCCACACGATACTCAAGAACTATCAGCTGCGTTGGGCTGGTCACCTAGCCCGCATGCCAGACTATCACCTCCCAAAAATAATTTTTATGGTGATCTCCAGCAAGGGAAGAGGTCCCAGGGGGACAGAAAAATCACTATAAGGACACTCTCAGTGCTGCTTTCCATTTTTTTGGCATGGACACAGCAACATGGGAGGCTGCTGCACAGCACCATTCTGGATGTACGTCCTTGAGGCATGGTGCATCAGCCTGCCAGGCAGCCGAGGTTGCACAGGTAGAGAAACGGAGGCAGACTAGAAAGAACTGTATTGCTAATCCCAAGCTTACTGCGGCTTCTAACTGTTCGCACTGCTTGAGACTTTTCCAGGCTCATATTGGACTAATCAGCAACCTTTTTACTCATATTGTTGATCATTACTACTTGAGCTGAAAAGTGGTATTTATCACTTGTGATGGGAAAATCTATTGGTGACTTGTGTAAAAAAAAAAAAAACTTTTTTTAGAAGGAATTCTTGCGGATTTGTGATGTGTTTTTTTGTTTAGAGCTCTCGCAGCACACAGAAAGTGCTGATTAAATTTTTTTTGCCTTAGTATTTCAACATTACCTTTATTAAAAGTTCTAATAGTATAATGCCAAAAAGAAAATAACAGCACCTAGGAAATTATGAATGTTGAACAGATCCTTTAGTTGGTTTCCTTGCTTTCTCAAAGGTTTTACCTTCAGTGCTAAAACTGAATTAAGTTACTGATCTTAAGTGTGTGATTTTTTTTTTTTTTTAAAGATAACGTAAGGGGATTTCCCTTCAAATTGGAGTTTGACTTGAGCCCTGTCATTGGTGGGTTTGATTTTAAACTGTCATTAGTCTGATCTGTGTGGGCATTGTGTTCAAGGGTCGTTTTAAAAAGCTACAAAGTTGTACTTTGTGCTGTTCTCTTGGCAGGCCCCCAGTCATTTTGCAAAGATTGAACCAAAAAGAATACAACCTGATGGAATGAAGTTACATTTTTCACCCACACATGTTCCTTCAAAATTGTGCATCTGACTGAGAGGTAAGGAACCAACAGTCTGCAAACAAATAAGCTAGATCTGTAAAGTGGACGTGCATGCAAAACTAAAGTTCTGGAACAAGATCAGAGCTAGAAAGTGGATGAACAACCAGAACTTTCCGTTGGAGTTTGCAGCAGAAGAAATTATTTAAACTACCCAAACTGCAGAGAGAAACAGTTTGCTAACCAGAAGAGCTAGTAACTTTTTTACAGTGGCATTATTTTCTAGGTTTAACGGCTTTTTTTTTTTTAGTGTACTGAATTTTTCAAATGATCTTGTATTTTTAGATAACCCCAGAGAAACTAAAGCTTCAGCAGTTGGCCAAAGCTAAAGCTTGGGAGGATGAGCAGAAGCGAAAACTACGGGTTGCTCCAGCAATAGCTGTTGGATGTTTCTTTGAGAATTCACCCAGTCAGACAATGACCGGGGATGTCAGGCTACTTTATGAATATAAGGTCAGTATTATTTTATGTGTCCGTGGCTTAGGTTTTGCTGTGCAGTTAATTCCAAACTACTAGTTTACGATTCTAGCTGCAGGCACTTCGGCAGTAGCTGCCGAGCTGTGAAAGACAGAAAATACAGGGTCTTTTTTTTCTGTGTTCATCTAAAGATGTAATTGTATTGTGGATGTTTACAGCACGGCTGCTATATTTGTGCTTTTCGGCCGACACATCTGACTTCTGCAGGCATTTGTTGCCTGGGTGAGCCTTCCCAGTTAGTTTCATGTTACACTGCAGTCTCATTGTGGTGTGGTCATCTTTGTTCACTAGGTCACAGGTTGTGCCCACATCAGGCCGGTCAAGAGAATCCACGTAATGCTGGTCAGCCCTTGAGAGAAGGCAGGGGCAGAACGAGCATTCCTTGCCATCCAGGGATGCTTCCATTAAATGCAGAGCCAGCACATGATGCTCTGTTACTGGGCTGACCAAGGAATCGTCACATACCGTTTGTGTCTTCTTCTTTGCGTTCACAGTCTGTAAACTCCGGATTTGCATGCAGACTGTTGGTTCCTTGCCTCTCAGGCAAATGTACCCCAACTTCGAAGGAAACTCCCAATTAGTCGACTTTTATCACGTGCTTTTGGGCAGGCAGTGATCTATTCTTGTTTTCGCCCACAATTGGTAATTATTTCCACTCTTGAAGGTGCAAGATCTTCGTTTGCTAGGCTACATAAACTGTATATTTTGATTTTGTCTTTCTTTATCATGATATCACTGCCTATAATTTCTGATTCGTTTTTTAAGTTAACAGGTACTTCACTGCTTGGTATTGAGTTTCAAATAAAATAGCCTTGATATCCTCTGACAGAAAATCTGTGATAGTATTGAGGAGTATCTCTTGAATGCATGCCACATCAGTTTTGTCTGCATAAAGGCGTTTTGACAGTTTTTATTTTTAGGACTCCTTCAGCATTCCACTGTCGCATGTCGAGTGTCCTAGATGTTAGGTCAGTAGTTTTTACCCTGATGCCCTTTACCTTGGCTCCACATCACAGAGTTTATAGATGCCCACTAGTAGTGTTGGGTGGACTCCTTTGAGGCAAGGGGCCCTGCACTATCTGTCTGGTTCTTCTTCTTTGACCTGTCCTACATGGGAGACCCTACCAGTAGCTAAGCTACCGTCTGCATAGCTCTCAGGGTCACTGGAGCACACAAGCCCCTCTACTACGGCAAAGTGGAGACACATCAGAGGGGATATACAGGGTTTTATTCTGCACCATCCTGTGATTGTTATATAACTAGGTTAGTCCTCTCTTTCATTTCCTGATAATGATCACTTTCAATGAACCCCACACTAAGAGCTTTGTAGAAAGTAAATGATTTTTTTTTTCTCTCACTACACTGTTACATGTTGTAACCCTATGTAGTGGATGGATACTGCAATAAAAAAGTAGTATTATAAAATGTATATTACCAATTGTCTGTTCAGTGTGAAATATTTAAACTTCAGAATATGTGTTTGTGTGTGTGTTTGTATGTGTGTGTGTGTGTATATATATATATATATATATAATACATTCCTTTATCAGAAAAGTAGTTTTCAGATAATAAGCTTTTGTTATTCTGTCCTTTAAACTGCTTGTAACAGTTTTTGGTGTTTCTAAGGCTGTTATGCTTGTTGCTGTACCTGTTCAAACAAGTTTGTTTGGCTGCCCTGAGCCAGACAAGTCCGAGGAAGTGGATTCAGAAGGAGTGGCTACAACCTCAAGTCAGAAAGGATTTCAGAAGAAATCAGTACCAGATGAAGGTAAATTCATAAAATAAATAATTTTGTGTCTTTGATTGGCTTTTTGTAGTTTTAACTTTTCGGACCAGTGAGTTCTCTGTTTCTGGTCCAGATTAAGGCAGCCATTGCAACTCGTTGGAAGTACGCCAGCTTCGAAGGAAATCCCTAGTCGACTTGTATGACATACCTGTTAGGCAATGCTATGGGTGTATTCTTCCCCCCCCCCCCCCCACCACAATGGGGCCCTAGAACCCACAGGTAGCCTCCTTCGCATCTGATAACCACTGTAAAATATGACTAAAATGTGTTAAACTAAAATCACAGGTATCGCAAACCAAAGTACAGAGTGCCAACTGCATTTTTTAAGGACGAACACTTAAGAAGATTTATATTTATATATGATACCAATCTTTTGCCAATTTTATGTTTGCAGATTTAGTGATTTAGTTCAGATGTAATTTGTATTCCATATTTTATGTTATAGAAACATTTAACATTGGTTTCTTGAATTTTTCTTTTGCAGCAATGCCAGATTTGATTCGCCTGGTTCATGGAAACATTAGTGGAATAAAAAGATTAATTCGAGAGTTTCGGGTGTACTGGCTGAGAAAAACCAACCCACCAACAAGCCTACATGATGAATCTTTATGTGAAAAAGATAAGGCCGATGACAGTTTTTCTGAAAAGAATGGCGATGTTTCCATTTTGAATGAATCATTGGCTGATTGCAGTAATATTGCAGAAGCAGATGAGCTTTTGGGTGATAATGGGAGCAATAATTGTGAGGAACAAAAGAAAAGAGAGGAAGGGTATGGTTGCAGTATATCAAAAAGACAATTAGAGCTGAAGATAACTTCAATGGCATGTCGTGAGAAACGTCCAGGGTTTAATAAAATATGTTGGTATGTCCATGAAAAAATCCTGACACAATTTAATATGAGCGATATAAAGTTGCCAAATTCTTGGGTGCATATCTTACCCATGCCGGCACGAGTGCAAGTTTTAAATAAAACTGCAGAATCACCAGGAAATATTTCTGAGTCAAATACTCCCAAAGCAAATAAAAGTGCAAAATTAGCCAAAAATAAAGCGTCCAAATCCAGTGGCAACATTGAAGTAGCAGCTGAGGTTAAAGATGACAGTGCATTGGAGGGAAAGGAAACTCTTTTGAAGAAAATAAATAAGGACCAGAGATCTATCAAAGACTTTGCCTGCTCTAAGGATGAAATTGTTAAGAAATCTGAGAATCAGACACCTGTGGCTAGTTCTGGTTCACCTGTGATGCATTCAGACAATGTTTCAGAATCACAGACTCCAAGAATAGTTAAAAATACAAAAGGGTCAATCATAAATATGATGTCCAAATCAGGAGACACCATTGATTTGACAGCAGAGGTTAAAGACGATGTAGAAGAAGGAAAGGAAACACCTTTGAAAAGAATAAACAAGGACCAAAGATCTATCAAAGACTTTGCTTGCTCTAAGGATGAGGTTGTTAAAACATCTGAGAATCAGACACCTATAGCTAATACCGAATTACCTGTGATGACTTCAGGTAGTCTGCAGTTGACTTCAAACAAGAGAAAGAAACCAAATGCTCAGAAATCTATAGTAGAATTTACAAATAAATCAGGAAACAAACAGAGCTTTAGTAAAAAATGTCAGAGGAATGTAAAGAATAATACAGCAAGTGAACCAGAGTTAATTTACATTGATATCGATTGTGAGCAGGTTGCTGCAGATTCTTGCAGTGACCTCTCAAAGACGGTCAGTTGCTCTGAAATAACAGCACCTGTAATCTCTGAAGCCTGCACATCATCAATTGTGGAAGCCAGCCATGCTGCCTCTGGCGTGGAGATGCCAGTACAAACTGTGTCAAATGCTGGCAGTAACGAGGAGTCCATGGAGGTTAATGAAGCTGTTGAAAGTACTCAGGAAGAATCAACTATATGTAAAGCCTCACAGTGTTGAGGCAGGAGTGAAAGATAGGGAATGTGTGGTTACATAATAAATATTTTGTGTGCATTGTCAAGAAATGATTGTATGTTTAGTAGTATTTTAATCTGGTGTCATATTTGCCTATATGTTGCAGAGTTCAGTTTTGTTTTCATGCTTGTTCCTGTAAAACCAGATTTTGATCTGTTACCTGTTTTCGTGTAATTATTTATTGAAAAAGAAATTTTTTTTTGAAATGTATCTATTGGATTTTGAATTAAAATGCGAGTACTGCTCTGATGGATGGTTTACAATGAAATGTTTGAAACATTTTTAAGGAAACATTTACTAGCCTAAATTTCAGTTCCAGCCAGTCTGTCAATGCTGTGCTTGAGGTCTCTATGGCGTAAGTGTTCCAGTTGTTTGCCTCATGCTCAGAAGGTCATGGGTGTATTTCACCAAGTTCATACGTGCAGTTTTTTTTTTTGTAGATCCTTAGGGAATCATGCCTGGAGCTACAAGGTTTTGTGCTTTGTGTGACACTCTTGGCAGGACACCAGCCATTCTCTGCAGCGACTGAGCTATATGGGATAAATCCCAGTGCAACCAAATCAATCTTTTTTACTTTAACTTTTGTGTTATGCTGAATTGTGTCCTAGTTACCGCCTCACTGCTATTGTGAAGGTTGTGTCAGCCAACTGCTAGAACTGACAGAGTTGTGCGACAGGGCACTGTGGGTCCTTTAGGTAATGCTTATTGTATCTACTCCAAGAGAGGTGTTTTGTTTGTAAACTACATATTCAGAAAATGGGGAGTGCCTGGTTGCCACAGAATTATTGGTGGGACTTATGCAGTAACGTGTGTGCACCTGCTGTTTTGTCATAACTGTTGCTTCCATCAACAATGAATTTTCAAATTCTAGTGACAGACTCTTGGTGTTGGCATTTCTGATGACTGCCTTATGTATTTAATGCATGATCAAGTTGTTGGATTCTGCAGGGACTGCTCTCACTTTGACTTTATGTAGGTCTGCGATTGGTTTTTTGTGTGGGTGTCACTGGCACAGAAGCAGAGCAACTGTGGGATGACCCATGTTTAAGATGAAGTTGGAGCCTGTTTTTGTAAACTACTGGTCTTCTTTATTCACTTGCTTTCTAATCTTTGTTGGAGATGGAGGCTTCTGTAACACAGTCTTCAAGCTGTGCCAGCTTTGATGCCAGGTGTGAATCACACTGTCCTCATTCTGCCTCTTTCATTGCACAGGTGACCTTTAAATATGTAATGGATTTAATTAACCTTTAACGTCAGTGAAGTGGACTTAAAAGTCTTTAGTTTGTTTTAGTATCCAGAAGCCATGAGTTGTTGACCCTTAAGCTCGGTATTATGGATATCGCAAAACCAGTGCCCTTGATTCCATTTTAAATACCGTAAAAATCTGGGGGGAAAAATGTGGCCTTTTTTTGCCCACCCCCGGGGAGTGAAACCCGGACCAAGGAAGTTTCGTCACCCAACCGCGTAAATCCGGTTTTTTCAGCCCAAACTACGCTGCAGAGAGAGACAGGCCAAAATAAAAAAGTTCTTCAAAACCTATGGTCTGTAAACCAGTGCTGGTTCATTCAAATTTCCTGCTGGGGTGCCAGAAATATCTGCCCAGTCTTATAGCGACTATTGTTAAAAGCAACCATAGAAATCAAAGGGTGTTATTCCCTGTGGGTTCCTAGTCATCATGTTTGGGAGGAAATAAAATCCACTACCTCCTAAACATTATGCCCTCCAAGATTTTAAATTAGGGGTGTTTTCTTGGAATTGAATTCAGAGTACATCTGTCAGAGAGGCAAGGAACCAACTGTCTGCATACAAATAAAGCTGATTTGTAGAACGGATGTGCAAGCAAAACACAAAAGTTCTGGAACAAGACCAAAGTTCCAAGGGTGGACAAACAACCAGAACTTTCCGCTGGATTTTTACAGTTGGTGATTGTGAAGTAAAAGAAAAGGGTGATATGGCAGAGCCTTGTATTCTAGCCACAGATTATTTTATTTTTTTTTCACCAGACGATGTCGCATTACTAAACAAATTACATTTTAGAACATTAGATTTAATCAGTACATTGCTATCTGCATATGTATGTGTCTATCTTAGCTGTAAGCAAAACATTTATCTTATTTCCCAATCCGAAGGTGGAAGAACTCTGTATTTGTAGCTTCATTACTACCCCACAAACTAGTAGCTTCATTACCGCCCAGCCAATTAGTAACCTCATTACCGCCTAGCCAATTAGTAACCTCATTACCGCAAAGCCATCTGGTAGCTTCATTACCGCAAAGCCAACTAGTAGCTTCATTACTGCCCAGCCAACTTATTTTGTTTTTTCGTCCATCACGGGTGATGAAGACCACTTTTTCTGTCCTCCCTGGGACCTCTTCCCTTGCTGGAGCTCCCCATATAATACTCTCTTTTGAAGGTGATAGTCTGGCATGCGAGCTAGGTGATTAGACCAACGCAGCTGATAATTCTTCAGTATCATGTAAATGCTAGGCAGGTTTGCCTTATCAAGAACCACAGTATTTAGCCATTTGATTTTGAGCAGCTTTTCTGAGACAAGCTATGTGAAACTGATTCAACTTTTTAGCATGGCGCTGAAACACAGTCCACGTTTTGCAAGCGTAGAGCAGTACTGGAAGAATTACAACTTTGTAGACCTTTAGCTTGGTCAACAGAGAGATACCAACCACTTCAGTTCCACACGCTGATATTAAAGTTTGCTGAAACTGCTGCTGGCCTTTGAGATTCTAGCATTGGTCTCGTCGTTGATGTTGGTTTTCTAAGATAGGGTACTGCCAAGATAAGTTTGAATCTGTCGACTACGCTTAGCCTTTGATCATTTATGGTGATGGTGGGATCACAGTAATTTCATCTGGGAGCCGGTTGAAAGATAACAGTTTTACCAGTGTAAGTTGGCCAAGCCGACTAGTAGCTTCATTATGAACAAGTCACCTGGTAGCTTCATTATCTCTCAGCCAACTAGTAGTTTCATTACCCCCCAGCCAACTTGCAGTTTCATTACCACTCAGTCAACTAGTAGTTTCATTACCACTCAGTCAACTAGCAGCTTCATTACCTCCCAGCCAACTAGTAGTTTCATTACCACTCAGTCAACTAGTAGTTTCATTACCACCCAGCCAACTAGTAGTTTCATTACCTCCCAGCCAACTAGTAGTTTCATTACCACCCAGCCAACTAGTAGTTTCATTACCTCCCAGCCAACTAGTAGTTTCATTACCACCCAGCCAACTAGTAGTTTCATTACCACCCAGTCAACTAGTAGTTTCATTACCTCCCAGTCAACTAGTAGCTTCATTACCTCCCAGCCAACTTGTAGTTTCATTACCACTCAGCCAACTAGCAGCTTCATTACCACCCAGTCAACTAGTAGTTTCATTACCACTCAGTCAACTAGTAGTTTCATTACCACTCAGTCAACTAGCAGCTTCATTACCACCCAGCCAACTAGCAGCTTCATTACCACCCAGTCAACTAGTAGTTTCATTACCACCCAGTCAACTAGTAGTTTCATTACCTCCCAGCCAACTAGCAGCTTCATTACCTCCCAGCCAACTAGCAGCTTCATTACCTCCCAGCCAACTAGCAGCTTCATTATCTCTCAGCCAACTAGTAGTTTTATTACCAACCAGCCAACTAGCAGCTTCATTACCACCCAGTCAACTAGTAGTTTCATTACCTCCCAGCCAACTAGTAGTTTCATTACCACCCAGCCAACTAGTAGTTTCATTACCTCCCAGCCAACTTGTAGTTTCATTACCAACCAGCCAACTTGTAGTTTCATTACCTCCCAGCCAACTAGTAGTTTCATTACCTCCCAGCCAACTTGTAGTTTCATTACCTCCCAGCCAACTAGTAGTTTCATTACCTCCCAGCCAACTTGTAGTTTCATTACCACCCAGTCAACTAGCAGCTTCATTACCACCCAGCCAACTAGCAGCTTTTCATTACCACCCCAGTCAACTAGTAGTTTTCATTACAAACCCAGCCAACTAGTAGTTTCATTACCCACCCAGTCAACTAGTAGTTTTCATTACCACCCAGCCAACTAGTAGTTTTTTCATTACCACCCACCAACTAGTATTTTTTTCATTACCAACCAGCCAACTAGTAGTTTCATTACCACCCAGTCAACTAGTAGTTTCATTACCACCCAGCCAACTAGTAGTTTCATTACCACCCAGCCAACTAGTAGTTTCATTACCACCCAGTCAACTAGCAGTTTCATTACCACCCAGCCAACTAGCAGCTTCATTACCACCCAGTCAACTAGTAGTTTCATTACCAACCAGCCAACTAGTAGTTTCATTACCACCCAGCCAACTAGTAGTTTTTTTCATTACCACCCCACCAATTAGCAGCAGCTTCATTACCACCCAGTCAACTAGCAGCTTCATTACCACCCAGTCAACTAGTAGTTTCATTACCAACCAGCCAACTAGTAGTTTCATTACCACCCAGTCAACTAGTAGTTTCATTACCACCCAGTCAAACCAATTAGCAGTTTCCCAACCTTAGTTTTTTCATTACCCCCCAGTCAAACAAGTAGTTTCATTTTACCTCCCAGCCAACTAAGTAGTTTTTTTTTACCTCCCAGCCAACTAGTAGTCATTCATTACCACCCAGTCAACTAGCAGCTTTCATTTACCACCCAGTCAAACAAATAGTTTCATTACCCTCCCAGCCAACTAGTAGTTTCATTACCACCCAGCCAAAAAACTAGTAGTTTTTCATTACCACCCAGCCAACTAGTAGCTTCATTACCTCCCAGTCAACTAGTAGTTTCATTACCACCCAGCCAACTAGTAGTTTCATTACCAACCAGCCAACTAGTAGTTTCATTACCACCCAGTCAACTAGTAGTTTCATTACCACCCAGTCAACTAGTAGTTTCATTACCACCCAGCCAACTAGTAGTTTCATTACCACCCAGTCAACTAGTAGTTTCATTACCACCCAGCCAAACATACATT